CTGAAAAACAAAGCCTCCCTCTGTCCCAGAGACTGTCAGGCTCCCTCCCTTCTGCACAGGTGAGAGCTTTTGGAGCCGATAGGACATTTTCCAGTTACTTCAGCTCACACACACTGAGGGTACCCAGTGAAGTCTATAGAAGGATTGCTAAGGCAGCATCTCTGTGCTTTGGAGGTGAACCAGAATCTCCCAGGATCTGTCCGGGGAACTTGGACACTGCAAGATTTGAGACCTTCACTAACCCTGGGGATGAGCCTGCATGCATCAGTCTCATCTGCATATAAGGCAGTCATGCTGCATCTGGGGTTTGGTTACCTCATTATCTGGCATGACATGTCTAGGCAGGAACTTAAAACAGCTGAAGAAAATGTGGAAAGGGAAAAGAGAAGGGAAAGGTTGAAGAAGAAGGGGAGTTGTCAGTGACTGCAGTGACATGAGTGGTTGAAACAGGCTGTTACTGGCTGTGGAAGGAGAGTGGAAGGAACTGACGATATTTGCTGAAGACACTAATTGGTTGGCATGAAGAAAACTCATTCACTAATACCAGTCTTCAGAGGTGAATTTACTGTGGAATTTTAATTTTTTTTTTTTGCTTTGTATTTCCTTGTTCTACCTATATTGTGTGAAAGCTTCACATCTATGTAATTAGGCTTTGATTCATCTCACCTCTCAGCAATTATTAAGTTCATAAATTATACAGAGACCCACAGGCAACCAGGTTCCCAAATTAGATACCTCAGCTGAATTAGTTATGATGAATCAGAGCTGAAATGATCCATTAGCAATTGCCAAACATCAGTGCCTGTACCAACTGGCTTCGAAGTGACATATGGATAAAATCAGACAGAGAAAGTATTGGATTAACTGAAGGGATAATAAAAGCTAATTTTGCTGCTATTAATATTTTAAGTAAGATAGCACATTTTCCTCACATTTCAAAGGAAAGTGCTAGTGCAGACTGCATTGAACTGTGCATTAATTGAGCTGGTTGCAAGGCAGGCATATACAAAGTGGATGCAAGTTAAGCATTGCTTGAGGAGAGGAGTGAATATTCTGGCCACAGCATCTGGCCCAGATTTTGCTGAATTCATTGCCTGACATCTTAGAGCCTAAGTTTTAGGAGTCCAAATGTCTGAGCAGGATATGGGAAGTGGATGCTGTGAAAGCCTCCACCTGTGTCACTGCATTATCTCATTGTGACAGTCACTTCAAGTTAAAGCCACTCAAATGAAATTTGCACCAACTATTCCTATCTCAATATTTCATATAAACTCTTATGATGGTATCTGAGTCCTCTACACAGTCAGTGCTACTTGGGAACTCTAATACTTAGGTTATAAGAAGGAGAAAATCTCAGTCTTAGAGTACTTAAAGTTGGCATATTGAAAGGGATGGGTGGAATACTAAGGGTGGATCTGACTGCTTTTTTTCTCCTAAAGAGTTCTCTCCAGCAACATGACTACAGAATCACCATGTTATTTCTTTAAAGATATGAAGTATTTATATGAAGCTGTGAGTTATCAATGAGAATCACAACTGAATGTGAAAATGCACTAATTTACCTTGTCTATTTCCTGAAATAAAATTAGTATTTTTGTGAGTAAAATCTGAAACATTTTGCTAACATAGTACATGAAATTAAATCCTTTCTTTCCATGAGGAATACTATCAATTATAAAAGGTGTGTGAAGTACGGATGGCCATTGTGTAAGATGTTGAATGAACTTGTAATTTCTCTTCCTTCAACACACTAAGGTGGCAGGCCAGGATACAAAATTACAGCCATGCAGTTTGCTCAGTTACTGCTATTCAGAAATGATAAGCCTGAGAGCAAGCAAAACATAAATTAAGAACAAATTACACAACAAGTACAGCCAGTGCACTGGGACTCATAAGGAGAACTTTTACAACATCTTTTTCGGGGTAGTTTATAAAAAAACTCACTTCTAAGGGCTGAGGATTCAGGCACATTTTGGGTTTTCACTGAGCATTTTAAATAAAGCTTGAATTCTTAAGATTTCTTATTTCCTCTTTAATTTGGGAATATTTACCCTAATTTAAAAGTCCATCTCAGAATTTCATTGGATTCAAGGTTGAAAAACAAGCCTAAACCATCCTTTTTTTAAATGCCACTCTGTATCGTATAACCTTTTCTTAAAAAGCTGTCTAAAAGAAGAACCAAACATTATTTTAAAATTCATACTACTTTTTGTTAAGCAAAAGGAAAACATCYTGAATTAATCTTAATGATTAATTTGTACAGTTTTTCTGCAATTCATTATTTGGTATGTCTCTTTTCTGCTGCCCAGTAAAACAGCCATGAGGAAGTCAACACACAGGGCAATACCCAGTTCCTCACTGTAGACCCTCTGTGTGCCCAAAGGTAGCCAGGTGATCTGTGTGTCATTACAGCCCATAAGTATCTAACCCCCTGGACTGTCCCCTGCTAAACCAGAAGGTCCCTTGCAGGTCTCATGTCTTATCAGACAGCCCTACATGGGCATCTCAAATGTGTATCTCCAGGACAACTCAATTGGTTTTTGGTGGATAACTGAGTCAATTATGGAGCAGCTGGGCCAGAACAATTTCCTTTTAGAATCTCTGTGAAGTTGTCTTACAGCTCTCAGTTTCATTACTAGTCACACAATTAAATGCATCAGGAATCAATATTCCAGTCCATCAGCCACCACAGGAGCAAGGTGACAATCATAAGACAGGACATTGTTTTAAACCATGGAGGGAGATATGTTTTGCTGCCATACAAACTTTAAACAGCGAGGGTAARTGTAGCTATTCCAATCTGAGAGCACATTAACATGACAGATTTGGTACTGCCAGTGCAATAGTACCACCTGCCTGCCTGTCAAAATGTTTGCCTGATCTGCATTTCCAACAGAGAATATGAAGCCGAGAAACAAAGAATGTAAGACAGACATAATGTCACCCCCAAAATCTAACTGCAGAATTAACCAGAACAAAGTGATTCAGTAATCATTCATTTCTCAGAAGCACTGCTGACAGGATGACAGGCATTTTATTTCATGGATAGACAGTATATAATAAAAGAGTTTAAAGTTAAAAATCCTGGGGGGAAAAATGTCTGTTGGCTCAGGTCAGAACAAAACCCAAACCAAAATCCTCAAATCAAAATTGAAATTCTTATCAAAAACAATCTCCCCTGTGTCTTCCTAGAAGTGAAATAGACAATAGAGCTGGGAATAGATGAGGCAGGAACATCTACTAGGGTTTATGGAAATACAGAATCTCTGATCCCGGATCAGGTATCAAAGAAATGTCTGCCCTAGCACCAAGGCTTCGAGTTTAAACTCGGGATTTAATCTTTCCCTATAATAGAAGCACTTTCGTGTGTCTTATTCATAGAATTGTAGAATGGTTTGGGATGGAAGGAAACTTTAAAGCTCATTTAGTCCAATCCCTGCAATGAGCAGGGACATCTTCCACTCGATCAGGTTGTTCAGAGTTCTGTCCAACCCGGCCTTGAATGCTCCCCGGGATGGGCTATCAACCACATCTCTAGGCACCCTTGATGCAGTCAAAGCAATAACATTGCTTGTGCTCCTCCTAAGTACTGGATAGGTGCTCCTCACACATTGTCACATCTGTCAAGAGGATCCCCACAGTTCTGTTTCCAATGCTCTTCAGAAATGCAGAAATCATTGTTTTTCTCCTTTCATCTAATTTCTAAGAGTCACAACCCAAGTGCCTTTTATCTAAGGAGATCTCCTGTCTTGGTTATTTTTCTTTTTGGTTCAGTTGCAATGTTTCCCTYTTCTAAAATATGATCAAAGTCTAATTTTTGCACGCTCTAGCCAGTGCTGGGAACCAATTTCAAGTTATACCAACTGAATCAAATTAATAGCACAGGGTTTGTTTTTCATGTTATTGGAGCATCATCAATAGGAATTTGATGCAAGGACATTAGAAGTTACAGGGTAACTTGTTAGAAACTGCTTGCTAGACAGTGTATATTGCTTACTTAACATTGATTGTGTTTGTCAAAGCAGAATGAGAAGTAAAAGATTATTGACAARAGCAGGGACTGTGACCCAGCCTGTATTCGTGGAACTGCTGCTCTGGTCAAAACCAGAGTTGTTGTTTGTACTTGGGCCAGGCACCCAGAGAGCATGCGCAAGAGAGAAAGGTGAAAAGCTCAAGACAAGAGGATGAGTGTTTTACTTCTTCCCGAGACCCCCGGAACCAACTACCAAATAACACTGCGCAGGCGTGAGCACATGGAAATGACTTTTAAACTCATTATAATACAAAACGGGGATAGGTCATGAATATGTATAGGTGAATTGCAAAACTCGGTGAATGTGTAACATGTAACCTGATATATACCAAGCGACACCGTGCTGGGGTGTGTGCGGCTTTGAGGAGTATCTCCCGCTCACCCAGCGCTGCAATAAACATACCTACTTCACAACTTAAAATTATATAAGTTGCGGAGTCTTGCTCAGATCATTTTTGGATCATTTTGGCGAGCCAGCCAGGAGAAGCTCTGTCCGGTGCGGGGGCTGTCCAGAATCGGGACTCTTTGGCGTGCCCCAGGTGTTTTATCCTGGAAGAATTCTGCTTCTTGTATGTCCACCGCCCAGGCAGAGCAAGTACCCACTGGCGCTTCATAGGAACRGTATGTCTATCATATATGTTTATCAGGAAGTCTACAGGGCGTACGCGTAGCCAGGGGTTGGTAAGACGCCGGGGACTCCTCGTGCACAATGGCCCCTGAGGAGGCTTGCAAGCGCCAGCGAGGTTGCTGGCCAGGAAAGGTTTTTCGTAACGGTCTGCCGAGTGGGACCGGAGCAAAAAGTTCTGCTACTACCTGAGTACAGGCCTGCCAATGACTGTATTAGGAGGCAGGAGAAAGGGTGGGCAGAACCTGGTTGTGTGCTTGTATGGAGCTCCGTGACTGAGTGTGTGTGAGTGTATGTGGAGACCCGGATCCTGGAAGTGAAGCACAGACCGGAACCASGAAGTGGCRGTTCCTGAGAGCCCGGAGTCAGGAAGTAAGTTGTATTTCTTCTTTATTTTATTGTGTAATGCGTGTTTGCTGTGACTGTGTRTCATGTGGTTGCATGCTGTGTATGATAGTTTAAGCTGCAGTGGTTAAACGGGGCGGGGAGGGAAAAATGGGAAGGGAACAATAACCCTGGGACATCCCCCCCCACTCCAGTGGTTTTACCCGAGGCGATAAAAAGTACACAAAAAGTGGTTAATATAATACAGGTGATCTGGAGTGAGTAATATAACACTGGAATAAAATGGGAAATAGTCAGGGTAAAGAAATAATGGCAAACCTCCCCCCACCTTGGGTGTACATTAGTACACTGGAAGGAAATAGTCAGAACAAGAGGAATAGAAAGTAAGAAGGTTCTTATTAAGTATTGTAATAATTGGTGGCGTTTATATAAATTAGATTATGGGGCAAARTAGCCACTTTTTGGATCTTTAGATTATAAAACCCCCTGCAGGTAATGCTGTTCTTGAGTAGAGAGGAAAACTGGGACGAAGTCTCCTACGCAGATATGATTTTTACTCTCCGAAATCACCCTGAGTGGCAGAGAGACTGTGGGATGGTGCTGCATAGTACTGGCTTTGGAAAAAGAAAATAAAGCTACTAAAAGCAGACTTAAGAAGTGCTGTTCAGCATGCAATATAGGTCAAAGATGTACTAAACCAGACAAGGTTTATGAGGCAGCAGCACAGGAACAAGAATTAACTGATTTTCTTAAGCCCCCTCCTAGGAAGCGAGAGGATGAGGCAGACGTGGAGGACACGCTGTCTCCAGCAGGGAGCCCGGTCTCTGCCAGAACACGGGGGAAGAGAAGGCAGGTCCTGCAAGTACCCCTAGGGGAGGCAGTAGGGCCTGAGGGCAATACAGTGCTGATCAAGGTACCTTTTTCTACTATTGACATAGAAGCTTGGAAAAAGATTTCAAAAGATTATCGAACCGATCCACTAATCGTAAGTAAACATTTACGTTTTATAATGAAACAACATAATCCCGATTGGAATGATATTCAGTTGTTATTGGAACTGAAAACCAATTAATTTTGAAAACAGCACAAGATTTGGCTGAAAATTATTATAAAGTACGACAAGAGGATCACAAAGAATATTTGCCACTCCAGGACCTGAAATGGAATCCAAATAGAACAGCTGAAATGGCTGAACTACAGGCTTATCAGGAGTGGATCGTAAAAGCCATGGAAAAGGCAATGCCTAAAACCAATAATTGGTCAGCACTGTATGCAATCAAACAGGGCCCGTCCGAGAACCCAACTGACTTTCTGGAACGTTTAAAAAAATCCTATGTGTAGAAACACAACACTGGACCCTGGGTCAGAGGTGGGGATACAACAGCTAGTGTCTCTCTTTTTGGCCCAATCACAGTGGGACATTAGATGGAAACTCCAGAAACTGCATTCAACAGAGAGTAGAAATTTGGAGGTATTATTAGATGAAGCTTGGAGAAGCAAAATATAAAGAGGGAGTCAAAAAGTTAGTAACATTGGTGGAAAAATGTAGAAGGGAATAACCAGAAAAGAGTCAGAACCAAGGAAAAACCAAACTGCCAAAAACCAGTGTGCATATTGCAACAAATTTGGGCATTGGAAGAATGAATGCCCAGAGAGGAAGAATATGTATCCCAATAAGAGATGGGATAATTCTGAGGAGAAAGAGATTGCACATGTGAGGGAAGACTGAAGAGGACCGGGGATTCCAACCTAGCAGATCCCCTGGTTATAGTAAAGCTAGGAGAAAAAAGTAGAATTTCTGGTAGATACGGGGGCAACTTATTCAGTTTTGAAAAAAGCTCTGATGCCTGTGGGGGATGATTGTATCATGGTAAAAGGGGCCACTGGTCACTCTGAAAAAGCTTATTTTTGTAAACCTTTGAAGTATAAACTTGGGAAACAATGGGGAATTCATAAGYTTTTATATATGCCCAATTCCCCAAAAGCACTCTTGGGTAGGGATTTATTGAAACAATTACAAGCAACCATTGTCTTTAAAAATAGGGGAATTACTCTGGAGGTGAATGATCAACAATATGTAGAAATCTTAAGTTTAATATTGACAACCCCTGAGACCGAAGAAGGAATTAGTGAGGAAATAACAAATCAAGTATTTCCTGGGGTTTGGGCTACTGATGTTCCAGGGAGAGTTAAGAATGTGCCTCCCATACAAATTAAACTCAAAGAGGGAAAACAGCCAGTTAGAGTTAAACAATATCCTTTAAAAAAGAAGATAGAGAAGGAGTTAGCCCAGTAATAGAAAACTTTTTGCAGCTAAGATTACTGAGAGAATGCCAGTCTGAATTTAACACCCCTATACTACCCGTTCACAAACCTGATGGATCATACTGGGTAGTACAGGATTTAAGGGCTGTAAATAAGATTACGGAAGATCTCTACCCTGTAGTGGCAAATCCATATATGTTATTAACTGAATTAACACCGGAGTTAATTTAGCTTACTGTTCTAGATTTGAAGGATGCCTTCTTTTGCCTCCCTCTCCATGAAGCCAGCCAGAAAATATTCGCTTTTGAATGGGAAAGCCCTAAAAGCGGGCGTAAAACCCAGCTCACCTGGACAGTGTTGCCTCAAGGGTTCAAGAATAGTCCTACCATATTTGGAGATCAACTTGCCAAGGACTTAAGAATCCTGGGAGGTCCCAGCATCAGAAAGAAAACTGTTGCAGTATGTGGATGACCTCTTGATAGCTACCAAGACTGAAGAGGCCTGTCTTACCTGGACGGTAAATCTGCTAAATTTCCTAGGACTGCAGGGATACCAGGTTTCCAAGAAAAAGGCCCAAGTAATGAAAAAATAAAGGTGATTTACCTGGGCTATGAGATCAGTGCAGGACAAAGGAGCTTGGGGCAGGATCACAAGGAAGCCATCTGCCAGACCCCAAAACCTCAGACTGTGAAAGAACTCAGAACATTCTTGGGAATGACGGGCTGGTCCAGACTTTGGATTTATAATTATGGTTTACTTGTAAAGCCCCTATATGCTCTCATAAACACGGAACAGAGGGATCTCCAGTGGACAAAGAAAGCCACAAAGGCCTTTGAGCAGCTAAAGAATGCCCTCATGTCAGCTCCAGCTCTAGGACGTCCAGACGTGAGTAAACCATTCTTTCTGTTCTCCCATGAGAAACAGGGAATTGCCTTAGGAATATTAGCACAAGACCTGGGTCTGTACCAATGGGCAGTTGCTTATTTCTCTAAGCAACTAGATACAGCAGCCAAAGGATGGCCGGGGTACCTCAGAGCTGTTGCAGCAGTCATGATGAACATTCAGGAGGCACAGAAGTTTACATTGGGCCAGAAAATGACTGTGCTGGTGTCACACTGACAGTGTCCGCAGTGCTGGAAATGAAAGGCG